ATTATTCTTATTCTATAATCAAATTAGGAAATGAAATTAATGTAAATATGTCAATGAATAAATTGAGATCTTTTTAGAGCTTGTTTTTTTCTTTCTTTCATTAAACAAAAAGCACAAAAAAAGAAAAAAATATAAAGAAAAAAATACCAATAAGAACCAGATGGGGGTTGCGAGGAGGAAATCAGTTTTTAATGGTTAAAAAATTTTCTCAACTTTTAAAAGTAATCTAATTAACTCAAATTAGTAGTATATTGAGAATAGTAACAAATTTAATGTAATAATAAGGCTAGTTTTCATCTAATAAACACTATAGATCAACAAAACATCTACACATGAGGAGGATACAAAGAATTAAATGAAAATAGATTCGACTGATAATCTAACTATCTATTAACATGTTTAAGATATGAAACTAATTAGTCCAATATTGAACTGATTGGATGAAAGCATATTGATTCAGAGATTAAGCTTTCATGCTCATAACTAAAGATGATCTCGATATGCTTATGAATGCAATCTTGTTAAGATATTCCATATTAGTACTGAACAGTGAAGTCATACCAGTCAGTCAGTCAGTCACAACGTAGAACTTCGTACGTACGTACATCAGTTCGAGTTGCCACACCACTTGGTTGTCTAACTAACTTCAGTTTATGATGAAAAACTATTACACGTTTGGTAAATAGTTATATAAATGTAATTCATTTGATCATATTTAACTTTATTTGATTGAGATTGAAACACATAGGTTATAAAATTGTTAATTATACTATTGTTAGATTGCCAAAACTAACTAATCAAAGTAGATTAGGATTCAAGCCGAATAACCTTCTAATTGGAAGTTACTTATTATAATCATTAGGATATTGTTTATTGAATGAAGAAATCAATTTAATATTCATTCTTCAGTATTTCAAGAAAAGATTTTCTCTCCAATAATATCAATGAATAATATAAAAGTGCAATTGATTCATGATCTTAACCATTGAAATTATTATAATATCCACAAAAGCTTTTCTGAAACTAATCAACATATACTCATCAGTGACTGGCTTTAAGAGGTATTTCCTGAAGTTCTAGTGAGAAATAGTGACCAGTGGAGTTCAATGGGGTCTTTTGTGAGATAGTAATTCACTGAAGACAATAGTGAATATGTCGCTCAGTTTCTTAGATTGGTTGAAGTTAGACATTAACACCGTTGGATGTTGACCGGCTCAGTAATCTATTGGTTAAGCGCTCGCATCTGAGACTGATAGATCCTGAGTTCGAATCTTTCGGAGGGCGGAATCGTGGATGCTCGCTGATGAGAAGTCTCACAATAGGACGAAACGGCCATCCAATGTTTCCAGGTTTTCTATGGTGATCTAACCTCAATTGACTCATGAATTCATTTATGAAAATTACTATAATATTTACAAAACCCCTTCTGATATGAATAAAATAAACGTCAAAAAAAAAACAAAGGAATATCTAATCAAAACTAATCAATTAATTAAGTAGTATAGGAAGAAAGAAGACAATAAATGAAGGTTTGAACTGTATTGTTCTCTTAAATTTGACATACATAGATAAATCATTTAATTAAATGAAAAGAATTAATCTAAACAAAGAGAATGAAGAAAGAGAGTTTGTTTACAAACAACAGGATAATCTTTTTGTCAAACTATGGTAGTTTCTCACATGCTTTTTAATATTGGAAATGAATATATGTCCAATCTGAATATGATAAACAAATTTAAAAGATGGAGTGGAAAATGTATTTTATATCATGAATTGGTTTTAGTTAGACAACTATTGAAAATCAGAAGACACTGGACAGCTGCTTAGTTCTAGTATGGAACTTGTCAGCAATGAAATGGAAGATGTTTCTCTAAGATCGTGAATTAATTGAAGCATCGATAGCTTATTGATTTAAAGGTTAAGTATTGTGTTGAATCTGTTGTAGTGGAATTGTGCACTCGTATTACTGGAGATGGAACAACAGTCCCGTACTTCTTGGTTTTCAATGGTGGTCTAGTTTAGATCGACTCATGGATTCAGCTGTGAAAATTCTACAATCTCCACAAAACTCTATATAGTTAACGAATTATTCGCTAAGCTAGTGAATTTAGATGACTGTTAACTTGTTCAATGAATATGATATGCACAAGTAAAAGTTTATATTATATTGTTCCTGACATTTATGACTGAATTGTTAGCGTTAGTGGCATCCTGAATGAAATACTTTAATATAGCCATTTCTAACAAGTTTGTTTCTGAGACCTTCTCACTCCTAGGGCAGAGTTTAAAAGGTTTGAATTTTTTTTCTGGTTAGCGATTTTTAGCGTGTTAGTTTTTTACGAGATAAGGTCGCTAACCCCCACGCCTAACCCTCTTCCTTCATCGGAGCTTGGGACCGGCACTAGCCTCTGAGGGGTTCTAGGAGGAGTTAACACGTTTTTCTGAGTGCATAGAAAAAAAATCATACCAACTGTTTATAGACTTATTATTTAACACATATACTATTATCAGAAGGGGTTTTGTGAAGATTGTAATAATTTCAATGGTTGAGATCATGAATCAATTAAGGCTAGACCACCATGATCGTGGATGCGCACTGCTGTGGAGTCCCACAATAGGACGAAACGGCCATCCAGTGCTTCCAGGTTTTCTATGGTGGTCTAGCTTCAATTGACTCATGATCTCAACTATTGACATATACTATTGTATAGAATTCAAAATAGATTCTTAGTTTAATGTAATGAAGATCATTGTAATTCATTGAAATGATAAACTGATCAAATATTAGACATCACTTTATTGATATCTATTTTACAAACTTGATCTTCTAACCTCCGGATATCAATGAACTGAATGTAACATTGATTCAAATAGAAACTTGTGTAATAATTGACAAGTAATTCATAACATAATACATTTCATTCAATACGTTTACTTTCATTTCATGTTTCTTCTTATTCCTTTTTTTTTAATCTTCTGATAAGACTTAATCTAATAGGAAGTTGTAAAAATGTTAGAACAATAGAATATTAACAGTTGAATATGATACTACAACGAAATGGTGGTCTTGTACTTTCAGATTATCAATGATAATCTCAATTTAGATCAACTAATGAATTCAATTGTGAAAATTATTATAATCTCTATGAATACCTATTCTGATAGTCTGGCATTAGTTATAAGTAAACATGAATAGTGGTTAGTTGTAGAATTCAAGAAGTGAGTTTTGTTTGATTTAAGACTCGTCAGCTCGATAAACTTTTACGCCAGAGTCGATGTTCACTTTGAGATTCGAACCAAGTACTGTTCGCTTCAAATGCTATTGCATTATACATTTATCTACTGAGGATAAAACGCGCATCCTGGATACGCACAATATGTACATATGCCAATAAATGACTAATCACAATTGCAATGCTAAACATCAATAGGAAGATACAAGTAAAATAATACCAAATGAATATGATATTATTTAGTTTTAATAATGGATTTATTATTTGGGAATAATTCTATTACAGTTTATTGATGCTTATTAATAGTATCTACTGAATTGAGGTAATATGTCACCTGTTAGCTTTTATAATGTGATCAGATATCGAAGTATCTGAGCAAAAAAACAATGGTTTTTACTCTAAACGTCTTTTACATAACTGATATAATCCGTATAGATTTGTAGTATTCGTTGTAGATTTCTAGGAAACTAAAAGATAAATACAATATCCTTGAATTCTATATGAAATCGACAACACGAAAAGCGAATGTCCGGCTCTTTAACTGGGTTGTTGCATATTCAGGATCGCAGGGGAGTTAAAAAACCCTGATTCCAATCCATTGGTGCACATGGACCTCAGGATCCTAAGGAAACGAATGACGTATGAACCTATTGTTGGTCACCGGTTACTATTCGATCGTATCCTCTTAAGATGCACTACCGCCTTATAGATTACACATTTAGGTCAAAGGCTCGGAGTATGGCCCACTAAGGAAACCATCTGCTTCGGTATGAGCACTCGAGCAGTATCCCATACCACATATAAATCAAGTAACTTGTGTGGTGCATATCTATTCAATGCGCCTTTGTATCAATATTTATGTGTTCAAATAAATAAATAAAATAATATTTCTTAACTATTGACAAAAAGTATATTGGAAATTCCATGGTTTCTAATCCGTTGTTAGTAACACAACATTTTTTTCGTTTTCTAAGAAGCTTAACAAGGCTTGATTTAATTTGATTCTCTGAAATCAATCGAGATCTTCTCTACAAACTCATTGAGAGAGATTCGCACTTATTGCATAAGTTATTGGCTATTTGAACTTGGGAGTTCAGTGTATAATATGTTGGGGCTACCTTGATGTGGTGGTGGCCGGGCTTGTCTATTGTGATAAACCAATCGAGTTATGCTGGCTGGAACAATCGTTCCTCAAGGTCCTACCATGTCAGACAGGTCGGTTGAAGAGCGGCAAAACTGAAAGCAACAAACGCAATGTCTGAGGGCAAAGTCGAACTGCCGACTATTCAGAGGTGTGACGGCAGTAAGGTAGTTTCCTTCAGACAACTAGCATAAGAACGATGCTGCCTCCTCACAAGGATGGGTGGGGTTAGAAAAGGTTAACCCTAAAAATGCACACTTCGCCTTATCCCACAGATATTCGTCGCCGGCGGTAAGGTCTCAACAAGTACATCGTTTTGTGACCGACCTCAAGCAGTTGTCCCTTGGGCACTGAGATCACGCTTTCAGCTCACTAAGGCCACTTTTAATCCAATTTCCTTTTTGGGTACCTCTAGAAGAATTGTTCCACGGTGTGGGCAACCGGGAAGTGATAACCACTACCCTTGTAACTTTAACAGAACTCAAGATGAACTGACTGACGTATTGAATTCCACATTTCACTATAAACATTCACATTAAACTTCACCTACATTTTATATTCCATTACTGAAATTCAATTTCAAATAAATTTCCTTATTTTTTTTGTATTTTTCTTTAAAAATTTAGTTTAAGAAATGGATAATGAATTTAGATAATTTATTTGTTACATTCACTGTATTAGCTGTTATATTGGGTATGACAATTGGTTTATTAGTTAAAATTTATGGATCACCATCACCAAGAACAATCTATCTATTATCATTTCCTGGTGAATTATTAATGAATATGTTGAAAATGTTAATTATACCATTGATTGTATCTAGTTTAATAGCAGGTTAGTAATCTATGTAATATTGTTTATTATATAAATTTGTTTTTTCTTCTATACTCATACTATATTATTGAAACAGAATAATTGTGAATATCATTGGGGGATGATCAATGTCGTGTATGTCAGATCCTTTTTTAGTGTAGATCAAATCTTATAGATCATATTGCAATGTGGCCACTAGTCTAGGTGACTTGACATTGAGTGTGCTATGTGGAGATAGGATAGTGGTCGGAGATGGTTAAGAAGAAACTCTAGACCTAGGTTTCGTGCTATTTGGAACACATCAGAAAGGTGTACCTGTAATCTTGAGGTTAATGATGCTCCTTGACGGATTAGATCCTGTGTCACTCAGCTTCAAAGACGTTACCACTGAGCTATCCGGGAGGTGGGTGACCTCCTGTATTTACAATTGATTGATCACTGGGTGGTGATCAATGTCATATATGTCAGATCCTTCTTTGTGTAGATTGAATCCTATCGACCAAATTACAACGTAACCAGTAGTCTAGGTGACTCGACATTGAGTGTACTATGTTGAGATGAGATGGTGGTTGGAGGTAGTCGACAAGAAACCTTGGACCTAGATTTCGTCCTACTTGGAACTCGTTAGCAAAGTGTAATTTTTAACATCCGATATCAATAATTACGAATATAAGATGCTCAAATATACATGTCGACACTGAATGTTGTACACCTGAGAGTAAGACAACTTGAGTTGTTCTAGAAATTCGTTGTGATGAAAGTATTTTCAAACATTCCCTGAATTATGCTTTATTAGTTAATGTTATTACTTGAAATAAATTATCAAGTCACTACACACACACACACTAAACAGTTTTACTGCATAATCTTTATCATACATTATTAAATATATAGTTTATTTCATGTCAGAGATGTGAACCAGTCAGTCAGCTACAATGTAGAACTAAGAACCTATAGGCATTGGTTCAAGTTGCCATACCTCATTACCACAACAAGATCAACACCGGATTCATAGAAGTAGTTAATTCAGTGGTCGTATTATATAAAAGAAAGTTTGCATATAAGGACATAATACAGGAAGAAAGAATAAATTCGTGGAAAGAAATATAAGTATCATCAAAAGGAATGATTTAAAATCTTATTGATAATATTAATAATACTTTGATAATCTTCAAAGTTGAATTCATGAGTCAGTCTAGGCTAAACCATCTTTGAAAACCTGGAAGCACTAAATGACCATTTCGTCTTAGTATGTGACTCCACAACGCCGCGTATCTATGATCCCACAAGTGGGACTCGAACCCGGAACCTTTGGTCTCATGCGTGAATGCTTAACCTGTAGACCACTGAGTCGGTATCCAACGTTAATAATGTCTAACTTCATTCGATTCATGATCTTGTGCAACACTTCATCCATTGTATGACGTGGATAACTTTCTCCATCCAACTCAGAATCAATTTCATTAGCCACAGCTCCTCACTAGAATTCATCTTGAATCTAGTCAGTAGTGAGCATATGATAATTATTATCCATATTGGGGATTTGTGTAGATTGTAAATTTTAATAATTCACATGTTACTTTTAAGATATAACAAGACATCTACTTCCCTTATGTTATACAATAATGAATAAGAGTAGAATAAATGAAACTAGATTCTTTCTTCATTAACATTAACTAATAAGTTTAACAAAGACAGGTGAATAAAACAATCATTATAGTGTAAGATAAGAGATGAACATTTTGTTTCGGTTGTACAATTAAATAAAATGTTTGATTATTGAATGTAAAACATTATAATCTTAATTATAATACCAACTGAAAGCTGACAATATGTAATATTAGAGAGGAGTTTTGTGGTTATTATAGTAATTTTAATAGTTGAATTCATGAGTCAATTGAAGCTAGACTACCATGGTAAACCTAGAAGCACTGGATGGTTGTCTCGTCCTACTGTGGGACTCCTCAGTTCTAGTTAGTTCTAGTGAGAAGTAGTGACCAGTGGAATTCAGTGAAGTCTGTTGTGAGATAGTAACTCACTGATGACAATGGTGAATCTGACGCTCAATTTCGTGGATTAGTTGAAGTTAGATACTAATACCGTTGGATGCCGGCTCAGTGATCTAGTGGTTAAGTGCTCGCTCACGAAACCAGTAGGTCCTGAGTTCGAATCTCGCAGGAGGCGAGGTCGTGGATGCGCACTACTGACGAGGAGTCCCACAATAGGACGAAACAACCGTTCAGTTCTTCCAGGTTTTCCATGGCGATCTAGCTTCTACTAACTGATGATCTTAACCATTGAAAAGCTTAAATATATTGAATGATAAAGTATAAAACCAATGCATAATAGCGTAAATGAACCCCTTAATTATTACGTAACAATCCATTCTTTTTGTTAGATCATATTTTTTTGTTACATTTAAAAGACTAAAAGATTAAGACATTTGAATTAATGCATATTTTGTGCTACTTTTTTGTTCTTTTTAACTGTTGATCATCTTTGAAGTTGATTATTATGTTGTTTTTTTCGGAACTAAAATGATACAATCAAATCAGAACTATTTTCTGATTATCATTGATTATGTGTGTTTGTATGTGTCACATGTATGTTCCCAACAGTATAAATTGTATTGCACAGAATTGAAATCTATTCAATGATGATATAATATTACAGATTTATATAATGTAAACTATTTTTCTCTCTAATTTGATTGGTTAATTAACGGAACAGAAAGAAAGTGATCATTGTATACATGAATAAATATGAATAGTGCTTGATCATATTAATGGACATATCTAGTCTCTTTATTACTAATTTCGTTTAAACAAATAAATTACACACAGAAACATATAAAAGTTAACAAATTCTCACTTTATGTTATCTCCAACTGTATTTACCGATTTATATGTTTGTACTAAATCACTTACATTGACATAACAGTCATGTTGGGAGATGCAGATTACTTGGTTGGGGTACGTGTGACTAACGTAACCAATAGTTGGAAACTTTGAGTGACATAGCTCAGAATCGATCACAATGGTGTAGGTTTATACACTCTCTGTCTTCCCTTAAACTATGAAATTAAAATCGATTCATATCTTTCTTTCTACGAACTAATTCTGTCTTTCTGTACTATATCTTTATATACAATCTTTCTTTTATATATTACCACCTCTGAATTAACTACTTCCATGAATCCAGTGTTCATCTTGTTGTACTAATGAGGTATGGAAACTTGGACCGATGCATATATGTGCTTGGTCCTATGTTGTAGCTGACTGACATAACAGAAAAAAGGGATTTTCATTCATTTTGGAGCATATTCCATAATGTTCAGTGTATTTTCAATAATGCTATCACTTTTCATCCGTTTGATAGTAAACACAAAATTGATGTTTTAAAGTCGTTCAAAATAATCAATACCTTTAAAAAACTTTGAATTTCTTGGGTTATACCATGGCTATAGCAATCAAAAAAAGTGAAACGACACAAACAAATCCAAAACGATGGAGTTATAGATTTCTTAATAGCCCGGTTTTAGTGACCCAGTATTTGACTCCAGGTATATCATATGATGAGTGTTATTGAAGTATATATACCGCCAATCCGTGTATATAAATATCAACTTAATTCGCGTTAGAGAATAGTAGAATACGTATATTTCATACATTCATTTATTCACACAGACAACCAGAGAAACAAAGTGAAGGAAGCGAAGCGAAACGAAACAAAGTGACGCTCATCGAAGGTTAGTGAGTTAACTCGATTTATTCAGGCGTGACTCGATATTTATATTCAGACACAAAATAAGTTACAGACACATAATCAATAGGGTGAACAATTAACAGATACGATCATACAAAAATAGTCAGGATTAATAAGCGAATAATTGACAAGTTCGAAATGTGACTTAAGAAGAATGGATAAATTGGTCTATCCAGAAGCTAGAATAACCTATGTGGGCTTGACATAGTGTGATATATGCTACTTATGTTGTTATAAGTAGTATATAACACCAGCCAGAAGTGGAATGTCTGGCAGTAGAAGGTTGGGAAGAGAACGGCTACAGAGAATAATTGTTATGGTAATGAAGGAACAATGAATTGTGAGATATTTGTCGAAGGATTCGTAAATAAAGTATTGAACATACAGTAGGGACTGTATATTCTCGTTCATTACAATAGTACTATCCACAACATGGTAATCTCTACTTTTCATTGTTCAATTACATATAATCTTATTTCAAATTCTCAATAACAAATTCCTTTCTTAGGTTATGGCGTCATGTTTGAGCTTTAACAACTTTGGTCTATTAATTTACTTACTTTTATGGTTGTTATTACGAATCCTGGTGTTGATTTCCATTCATTCAAGATAAGTCCCCATTTGTTAAAAAATGCTTCTTCTATAGTTTTCACATTCTTACTTATTTACTTAGGCCTGTTACTCCTCGTGGAGAAGCATAGGCCGCCCACCAGCACTCTCCATCCAACCCTAGCCTAGGCACTCCCTTACAGCTCTTCCTAGTTGTTATTTATCCTTTTCATGTCTGTTTCCATTCCACATTCAGTGACACATAGATCTTTATCCACTTTACCATTTTAGAATTCTCCTAAATTTCTTGTCTTTATTCTACTAATGTTTATTAGCATAATATAAAATATGTATATTGATTGTAAATAATTATTATTATCATCTCCAAGTTGTAAGCAAACCACGAGACTTCATGGAATAACTGAATTCATTTTATTTCACCGTATTCGCTATTTGCGATTTAGTTCAGTCAGGTATACAAGCTAAGCAAACAAACGTTTCTTTTTAGTCTGTTCCACCTCATGGCTCTACGTTGATATGACATCAATACCAAATATTAAATGGTGTATATCTTCATATTCCCCCCCCCAAAAAAAATTAATCAATTAGTAACTTAATAAATGCGAAATTAAATCTTTAGACAAAGTGACGTAACTGGTTAGTTGTAACAACTACTTACGTAAGAATGAGGACACAGATTGCATAAA